AAATGTAGGTAGATAGGTATGTATCTATAGGCTACAGCATACACTTACCATCAGCTGGACTGTGTGCTCGTTTATCAACCTTATATTATATTTTAAAAAAACAGTTGTCTTGTTATGAGCTGCAATGATGGTGTTTCTGACATACATTTTTGATGATGTACAGTTTTCGTAACGTAACTTGAAAATTATATTAATAGTAATGTTTTTTTTCATTTGTAAATGGCTCATGGGCCTGATAAAAATGACAGCAATGCATAGTACGTGTACGTGGTAGAGCCATGCTGCAGCTATATTATGGTTGTAGCACGAATGGGTCGGCTCGAACGGGGAAGGACCACGCTCTCACAGAAAACCAGCGTAAAATAGCAGCTTAACGCTGCTGTGTTTCGTATGGTGAGTGTAGAGAACCGGAGACCCTTTTTACTGGCAAAGAGGCTTTCCATCTTAGTCCTCACGGGTGACAACGCATCTGCATCTTGAGTCTTTATTGAGGATAGATGTAGATGTCTATGGGTCACAGTAACCACTTACCATCAGGTGGACTGTGTGCTCGTTTGTCAACCGATTCTATAAAAAAAAATAGTCTGACGATGTTTGTTAATTACACAGTCGCTGGAGGCAGAAGCTTTGTCAAAAATTATATTCAAATACGTAATTCGGATCTAATTTAAGTCTATCCGACTCTCTGTGGGAACATTTAGTTTTACAGTAATTATTCTCTAAACTCATGGCAGTCCTAACAGTTACAGTCTATCAAAAGTTATATGAATAACAAAATTACTACTAGAAACAATACGTGGTAAAGCTACGCTGCTGTCATATTATGGTTGTAGCGCGAATGGTTTGGCTGAACTGGGATGGGATCAGGCTCTTACAGAATATCAGAACCTTATCGCTCGGCCAATCTACACTCAATTGTTGTCAACCTACCACGCATTCGATCCAAACGGGTTTCTTCATCTTTCCTCATGCTTACAGCAAAGTAGTGGTTTAAGTTGCTAGCATCTGACTTTCCATCCGATTAAAACATGGGTGTATTGAAGACAAGAGTGAATAGGCTTTTGCTAAGCTAAGTCAGTGCGCTTAACCATCTTTGGTTGTGTCACCACTTACCATAAAGTAGGATAGTAGTCTAGCACTGGCTCAGTTTAATTGAAAAAAAAAATATGATTGAACTTTGAAAAATATAGAAATTACTGCAAAGGAAATTAATGAGATACATAGTTTCAAATATAATAAATACCACTACTTCTAACGATTTAGGGATACTTACTTAAGGTGAAAAAGTACTAAATACAGCTTAAGTGTTATTTATGCCGGCCAAAATTCTATGTACGCTAACATTCTCACCAAACGTTTAATCTCATAAGCGGCTTTGAGCTCACTTCTCATTTACGTAAGATCGTCTTAAGGACAAACCTTTGAAGTATTGTTAAGGAAATGGTATTTATTTATTTACTAATTTATTTCCTTAGGATCAACAATGGAAAGTACACTACATTATTATAAATGTATATGATTAATTGAAATCCCATTCAAATGGTTTTACTAATTATAGGCGATCATTGAATAATATTGAAACCGTTACCGTTACAGGTTCAGTCAAACAAATGTCCACTGCTGAACATAGGCTTTCATCTATCTTTTTCCGTAAGATATATGCTATAGTTACCACGCTTGGCAGGCGGGTAGGCAACAGCAGTTTTTTTTTGAAATTGTTATTAAGAAGATACTACTGACCATATCCTGGTTTGTGCACCTCTGCAACCTCTTACGACATCCACGGTACAATATGGGGTAGTGGTTTTTTGATTGATTTGATGATTCTTACACCGCTACTATGCGGTTGTAAATAACCTTATATTATAACAAGCGTAAAACTTATAAATACATATATAAATACATGAATTAAACGAGGTCATACAGTTAGTTTTATAAGGTTAAACATTATAACCATACAATATAATATATCTTGAAGAAGTGTTAATAAAGTAGCATTAGCCGTTATTTCTGCAATATTGCAAACTTTGTGTCAATAGCGTGCCTTGCTGTCTTATGATATATAGGCATACGGTATTCACATAAATCATGAATCTTTAGAATGTTAAATTTTTTCATATAACAAAGCTTTTCTTTTTTTTAAAGGATAAGGGTGACAAACGAGCACACAGTCCACCTGATGGTAAGTGGTTGCTGTGGCCCATAGACATCTACATCTATCTTCGATTAAGAATCAAAATGCAGATGCGTTGTCACCCGTGAAGACTAAAATGGAATGCCTCGTTTCCAGTAAAAGGGATCTCCGGTTCTCTACACTCACCATACGAAACACAGCAGTGTTAAGCTGCTATTTTACGCTGGTATTCTGTGAGAGCGTGGTACTTCCCCGGTCGAGCCGACCCATTCGTGCTACAACCATAATATAGCTGCAACATGGTTCTACCACGTATAAAATTATTATTTTCTGCCTTTATTTTTGTAACATCGTTAATCCACGGAAAAATACTGTCATTATTCCAGAGCTGCGGCCTCTAAGAGCTTATCTCTTATGAAACCATATTAACTTCTGTACTCACCGCTCTTGCTTCTTATATTAAAGTTGGCTAAAGGCTGAAGCCCGACAGCCAAGAGCTCTTACCGCACAAAAATCAACAAGGATGTAATTCGAACGTAACGTTGAGGACACTTATCACTGACCTGCATTTATTATTTAATGTGGAAACCTTGTTAGTATCCACTTGTAGTCTATTTCACATTTCAAAATCATAGACACTATATTATGAAAGGTATTCTTTATTTTTGTTGTATTAATTATCATTCAATGAAAGTTTTTAATTAAAATTACTTAAAATTTTACATTGAATTTTTATTCGTGGTGAAATTAATTTACAAAAACACTTACGTACGTATTTAACAGTATCTGCTTCAGCGTATTCACACAATCAAATTGATGGTACGATGATTGATTATACAAAAGAGACGCAACTTGACTGCCTCGTTGGTTCAACAAATGTTAACACGACTGCTGACTAAAAAAAATCGGCTCGGTTCAAAAAAAATAGTTATTGAGTTTTTCCGCCAAGAAATTCTCAGTGGCAGGCCGAGGTCAGGAAGATGGCGGTGTTTCACCCCCGTGCCTCAGAAACATGTAAAGCCGTTGGTCCTGCACCCTGTCTTACTCCGGTTGTGTCTAATCGCCGTCGGACCATGAGAGTGAAGGAACAGAGCACCTAGTCTAGTCTAGTCTAGAAGGCTAGTCTCCGTTGAGACTGACCGCCGCCGCCGTGACCGTAGTTCGGTCTACAGGACATTATTATTATTATACAAAATAATTGATCAAATATTTAAAAAAAAACTTTTACAATATAAGTACCACAGCTAATAACAGGCTTTCTCGTATTACTTGAGGGTTTTTAGGGCAAGGAATTATCCGCACCCTCACTTAGTGTTGGCTTAATTTTTCAGAAATGTAGGGTCCCCACGATATTTTACAGCACATAAACCCTCCTGGTTGGTTTTTTTTTCAAAACAGAGATGTATCCCGATAGGTTTTATATACACAATTGTGTTTTTAAAAGTATTGTGTTTTCACCGGGTGATAGGACTCTTTTTCTACCTGGTAAAAGTAGTACGTTAGGGTCTAATTCTTCCTACCTATTTCTGACTCCCAATAGAAATTCTTGCACTGCTGTGTTTTAGTCTGAAGACTAGACAGCTAGTACAATTACTGGCTATGAGGTATTAAATCTTAGTCCTCGGAGGTAACAACTTGAAGTTGGGTGCAAGCGATCATGGACTAAAGTAGCCGTTTACTATCAGGAGGAATGTAAATTCGTTTGTCACTTCAGATTTATAAAAGAAATCAAAATTTATTGAAAAATATTCTATTCTATTTTATGTACCCCGCGCTGTTTACTCCATAGCCACCTGCGTAGAAAATATTCCCTTTCCTAAGTATGTTAGGAAAGAGGGTGATATTGGTGCACTTCTGTGTTCTTGTTTTAATAATAATTACGATAAAAATTTGTTTTAAGTATTCTGGGTCTGCAACTGCATCTTTTTTTGCTTGATGCTGCAGGCATCCATGAGCTGAAAAAGCTGCGTCGCGTCCTGGCCAGATAACGTCAAAAAGGTTCAGTCCGATCCTGAAGTGGAAGTGGTTTCGGGGTACGATGGCGCAAATTTGCGACCTGTCCATGCCTAGAACCAGTCGCCCCAAGCGTAGAACAGTGTACTGGTGGTCGCCAGAAATTGCACGGCTACGTGCGCTCTGCTTGCGGAGTCGACGCCAGTACACCAGATCTCGAAGGAGAAGAAGGCGAGCTCCGTCTGAGGAGGTAGCCAGACTCTACGGGGCATACCGAGCGGCTACAAAGGCACTTCAAATTGCTATAACCAACGCCAGGTCTCGGTCCTGGAAAAAGCTTCTGGAGGGACTGAATGAGTATCCCTGGGGGTTATATCCATACAGGATGGTACTGAGTAAAATCCGGCCTTGGTCGCTCCCCTTGACAGAGACTCTCGATACGGATCTGCTGGGAATGGTGATCAGCACGCTCTTTCCAGAAGACCGGTCAAGCCCCTCAGGGCACCTACCGTCTTCATGGGAGTGGCAAGATGAGATGGGGGTGACCGTCGAAGAACTGGACCGAGCCGTTAGCCACTTAAAAGCCCGGAACACAGCACCGGGGCCCGATGGAATGCCGGGTCGGGCCCTAGTGCTGAGTCGGGACAGGCTCAGGCAGCTGTTTACCAGGTCTCTGCGCTGTGCCACGTTCCCCATAGCCTGGAAAGAAGCAAGGCTGGTCCTATTAAAGAAGGAGGGCAGGGCCGCTGATTCTCCCTCTGCGTACCGCCCCATATGCCTGTTGGACAAGATTGGCAAATTATTCGAGAGGATAGTTGCCGGTCGGCTCAATAGGCATCTGTCGCGCGTCGGTCCCAATTTGACCGATAGCCAGTTTGGATTCTGACGGGAGCGTTCCACTTTAGATGTGATAATGCGCGTGCGCTCCCTGTCGGAACAAGTAATATCCCAGGGAGGCGTGGCATTGGCGATAAGTGTTGATATCGTCAACGCCTTTAACTCCCTACCCTGGGATGCAATCAGGAGGGCACTCGCACATCATCATGTGCCCCCTTACCTGCAAGGTATTATCGGGGACTACTTGCGCGACGGGTATATTCCGTACATGGGGCAAGATGGCAGGAAGATCCGGAGGGAAATCAAACGTGGGGTTCCACAGGGCTCGGTGATGGGGCCGCTACTGTGGAACCTCGCCTGTGATGTGGTTCTGCGAGTCGATCTTCCCGCTGGTGTAGATATCGTCTGCTATGCTGACGATACATTGGTGATCGCCAGCGGGATCACTTTCGAGAGGGCCAAGGAGCTCGCCGAACTCGGGGCGGAAGTCGTCGTTGCCAAAATCCACGAGTTGGGATTAGAAATAGCGCCTCACAAGACCGAGGCCCTATAGTTCCATAAATTACCAAGGAGCAGGGAATCACCCGACTCGTGTATCCGCGTGGGTGGGTCTGAAGTCAAAGTGGGGAGGTACATGAAGTATCCTCCACTTGGACAGTCGCTGGGGCTTTGAAGAACATTTCGAGCACCTTGTCCCCCGGATCAAAAGGGTAGTGGGTGCTATGCATAGACTGCTGCCCAATCTAGGGGGACTGACAGAGGAAGTACGTCGCCTCTATGTCGGAGTTATACGATCCGTAGCTCTATATAGAGCGCCGATGTGGGCAAAAAGGCTGGCCATCCGACGCTGTAGAACTAAAATCTACAGTGTTCAGCGGACGATGGCCATATGGATTGTACGAGGATACCGCACAATATCCTTTGAGGCGGCGACAATCCTGGCTCGCTTTCCACCACTAGATATACTGGCGGAAATAGACGCGAGGGTGTACGTCCGAATCCGTGCCCTTCGCCAGAGTGGTGGTAGTGAGCCAGAAGAAGCGCTTGAATCAATTAAACGGTAGGAGCGACAAAACGCTCTGGCATCATGGCGCTCTCGACTCGAGGAGCGCTATGAAAGCAGATGCGTCATTGAAGCAATCCTGCTGGTCTTCGAAGCCTGGATGCAGCGACGAGCAGGAAGACTCACCTACGGACTTACTCAGATAATTACCGGGCACGGGTGCTTCGGTGATTATCTGTGTAAGATTGGACGTGAGGCAACGGCGAACTGCTTCCACTGTGGTGGACGGGACCAGGACTCCGCTTCCTACACACTCGCAGTATACCCAGCGTGGGAACGGGAACAGACGATCCTGGTAAACCGCATCGGACGGGACCTCTCCCTGCCAGCATTTGTGTCAGCGATGCTGAGCGGGGATTCGGTGTGGAGGGCCGTAGCCATTTTCTGTGAATCTGTTATGATTCAGAAGGAGGCTTCTGAGCGGGATCGAGAGAGGGCGGATGCCGCGCGGAGACGACGTCACCAAGGCGTTCCGTCACGGCCCTCCTCTTGAAAACGGTGTTCCATTACTATACGGGGCCTCCGGGGTTGCAGACGCTCGGGGCGGGAGCCTAGAGCGCATAGTTATGTAACCCCCGAGGAGGACGATGGCTCGGAAGTGGTCTCGAGACATCGTGGTAGCACTGCGAGGGTGCTGAAGGCAGAAAGTACTGCCCCTGGGACATGCTATTAGTGTAGCAAAGCGATGGAGGGGCCCCGGTTGCGTTCCGAATGGAGAGTACACTCTTAAACCCATCAGTGTTTAAGAGGGGTCCCGGGATCTTCGTTCACCGTGGGGTTTTAGCCAGTAGGAGTCCGGCATAACCTTTTGTTGCCCCCGCAGCGGAAGGTATCCATGAGGATTTGCCCACGAAAAAAAAAGAATACCTCAAACCAGCTATGTTGGTTCCTTTTATTTCAGCATTGGTGATCGGTCAGCTAGCTGGTTACGAGATTGAGTTATTGTTTCTCACTCTAATGTCCGTGTACAGGAAGTTTACTTCAAATTCACATTAAATACTTTAGTGTATATACAGTGACAAAACAAATATATATATATATATATATATATATATATATATATATATATATATATATACTTGCACAAGTACATAAACATAAAATAGATACCCTAGATTCGTAGTTTTAAATACTAAATACTTTCTCCCGAAAAGGAATAGTATGTGTGGTAAATACAATCAGAATATATTTGTTTTTGTTACAGACGAAATTGTGATTTTAGGACGGCGGCGAGCGTATTTAAGCCACGTTATTATTGCCTTGACTAAGGATTGTCGCTGTGTTTTGTCACCTGAATACTAATACAAAAAACCCTTTATAATTCTTACGTCGTCCTCAGTCCTAGCACCATATCAAGACAAGCAAAACATTTTACAGTAGCACATTTCAAACGTCGTAGAGCCACGCTGCAGCTATATTATGTATGTAACACAAATGTGTCGGCTCAACCGAAGAAGTACCAGTCACTCACAGAATAGCAGCTTAATATTGCTGTTTTTTATAGTAAGTGTAGAGAACCGGAGACCCTTATTACTGAAAATGATCAAGTTACCGTACACATAGTAGTTTAGAATTGTTTTTTTCTTTATTTTTTTCTTTATTGTTCATAGAACCAATAGCACGTTGTTAATATAAACAGAAGTTCTCAGACAATACTTAATGCCAATTACAGGTTCTTACTTTATATACATATTATATGTACTATCGCTTGTTAATTCACAAATTAACGATATTAATTATTTGGTGCTTAAATTTTTAAGTAATCTTAAAAATAAGATTAAACATAAAAACAGGCAAAAAGCAAAAAAAAAATTTTACACAGTAATACTGTCTGACTATAGTTTGGTTATCTCTTGCTTAATAATATAATAATACAATAATACATAAGACAATATTCCATCAGGTGAGCGCACAACTCTCAGACGCTCAACACGGGTTTAGACCAGGAAGGAGTACAACTAGTAACCTTCTCTGTCAGATGGCTCATTTGATACCGAGTGGAGACAAGGGGGTACAGACGGATGCAGCCTATTTTGACTTTAAAAAAGCATTTGACCTAGTAGATCATAACGTGTTGCTTAAAAAGCTAGCAGTTTTTGGTTTTACCCCACATTTACTGCATTTTTTTGCAAGTTACATGTCCGATAGACAGCAATATGTGGAATATGAGGGACATCAGTCAGAGCCATATTTCACATGGTCTGGGGTAAGTCAGGGCAGTAACCTTGGCCCTTTAGAGTTCTTGATGATGATAAACGACCTACCAGAAGTGGTGAAAGACGCTAGGTGTTTATTGTTTGCTGACGACCTTAAATTGTCTCTTGCGGTAAAAAATGGGCACGACTGTGCTATTCTACAAAGAGACATAGACAGGGTTGTAAATTGGAGCAAAGAAAATCTTTTGCAATTTAACAGCTCTAAGTGTGTGTTAATTAGTTTTTCTCGTGCGCACACTCCTATTTTAAATAAATATCACATTGACGGGCTGCCGATGACAAGGGTCAGAGAAGTTAAAGATTTAGGAGTAACTTTTAATACAGGGCTTACTTTTCATGATCATATCATAAACATCTGTAAAAAGGCTTATAGAAATCTAGGATTTATGCTTCGTACGGTCCGAGGATTCACAAACATAAGAGCGATAGTCGCCTTGTATAATACATTGGTACGGAGTCAACTTGAATGTAATGCAGTCGTCTGGGCTCCGCATGAAACTAAGTATAGTCTCATGCTAGAGCGAGTACAGAATAAATTTATTAGATATTTATATATGCGTTATTATGGTGTATACCCATTTTATCCTCTAATGTATCCAACTTTGTTTATCTTAGGTATGGTAGGATATAATGAACTAAGAGTTAGAAGGGAACTTGCGCTCACCTCGTATATTTTTAAAGTACTCAGAGGAAAATTGCATAACGCTGAAATGTTAGGGCAATTAAACCTATATGTTCCTGAGAGGTATGTGTGGCGCCGACGGCAGCCGCGACTGTTGGTGGAGCCGCGCGCTCGAACCAACCTTCTGAGTAAGGCGCCTCTGACGCGCGCACTCCATACGCTCAACTTAATAGCTAGTGAGACGGACCTATTCTGTTGTACTCTGAGTGAATTCACAAAGATAGCATTGCTTGTAATTTGTTACAAAAATTAAAGCATGAAGACAAATTAGTTAGCCAGCTACACTATCGCATTAGGTAATCCTGTAATGATAGTTGTAAGTTTCAGAAATAAATAAATAAATAAATAAATAATTTCTTTCTTAGAATAGTTTAAATAGAATAAAATAGAAAACCTCAAGCTTACTCCAGCTTTTCTTTCATTCTTTTATTAAATTTCGTCACAACAATGTTGCTTATCATATTATGCCTTCCCAATATTTTATTTCATAGCTGTTTACCTTAGTTGCTTGGTTCGTTTGTGGGTTGGCAGCGGCAGTTTTATATATATATATATCAATCCCCTATTTTAGTTTTTATCTATCGCCCCATTCAATATAAAATTTTGGACGTATTCTCTTGGGCCGGTAAGCTCCAAGTAATGTAACAATAACAATAACTACAATACGTAATAATTTCATTTAATTATGGAACCTTTTGGTGAGTTTCTAGTGTTTCTTTTAATATTAGAGTAACTATATAGCTGACACAGTAACTTAATAGAGGACCTCGAAGAAAAGAGCCGGCAACGCATCTGAAATTCCCCTGGTGTTGCGGTTGTTCATGGGCGGCGGTAGTCACTTACCATCAGGTGAGGCGCATGCTCGTTTGCCGTCTCCTATAAAAAAAATCAAAAGCTGCGATGGCTAACGACTAGGTTAAAGTTTTCAGCTTAGTCTTTAGGTTAGCCATCTTAGAGTCTGTTTCTCCTGTTAATTCCGCGTTTAGAAGGGAAAATATTGTCATATTATCCACATAGTTGTGCTTTTCTAGTGGAGTGGTGTTGGGTTTAGTGCTGGCTGTGATAGTGCACTATCGCTATTGTAGGAGGGAAGGAGACGTTTTTTTTTTGTTAAATATTACCTTACTTACACAGTATTAACTTTTTACGCAGTACTTGTACGATTAATTTACACTTATTTAAAAAAAAATATTAATGCGTTGTCAAACTCCATATCTAAATGCCACAAGCTTTTATTTAATTTCCGTTCATTTACTAGAAAAACTCCAGAAAAAATCAAACAACAGTGTACAGAACTTTATCACCTAGTAAAATGTATTTATAATTATCATTGAAAATGTATAGGTCGTATCATTACATGCCGTTTGAAAGCATAATAAACGTAATTACCGCAACCATAAATATCGAAAGAGGTGACTATTTAAATTGGTCAGGAAATGTATTAGTTCTTTTTTATAGAATCAAGTGATAAACAAGCACGAAATCCACCAGATAATAAGTGGCCCATAGCCATCTAAATCTATATTCAATTAAGAATCAAAACGGAGATGCGTTGTCACTCTTAAAGACTAAAATGGAATGCCTCATTTCTA